CCGGCTGTTGTTGGACTTTGACAACACCGCGCTGTCCAGCGCTCTCAGGCCCATCAGGAAGCACTGGAGATGATGAGGGGAACTCATTAGTGCCAGGAGGGAGAAGTAGAAGGCATGAAATCGGGCAGTGACATCTAACAGGGAGGCTTTGTGCATTCTGATTTGAACGGGTGGCTGCCACCAGACCTGCCTCCTCTGCAATTAGACCTGTAACATGAGAGCTGGTAAACAGCCCGGCTGTCAGCTATGCCCTTTGGCCAGGGAAGGACCTTTCTCCAACATCAGCTCTGCTTGGCTGAAAATAATTCAAGCTTGTTATGATGGGTCTTCCCTGCACTAAAAAGCTGTGGCCAAAGTCTCAGGCTCTAGATACTGGAGTGGTATCAGCTGCTCAAGAGAGCCAGAAGTAAGCTGCCTTGGGGCAGGGGGAGCTTGTCCAAAAGGCATGGGTCAGAGGTCCCACGCTGGTCACTTTGGACAGTGGGAGGGGGACCAGTCCAAGGAGAGTTATTGCCAAGCAAAGGCACCTGGATCTTAGCTCACAGTCTAGCATCACAAGGGAAAAGGAGCTGCTACGAGCCCAGCATCCCCCAGCCTTCACCCCTCGGAGCTTTTGCAGGGAGCCCAGAGCCAGCAGGCTGTCTCCCCAAATGCACCACGTAAATCCATTAACACAGGGTTCCCAGCAGAGACGTGTTATGTCCGTGCCATTTGTGGGGTGAAAAGAGGAGCCCCAGACATGCGGCTCCAGCCCCACAGAGTGGGAGCGTGGTGCCTGCCATTCCTGGGAGGCTCCACGGAGAGACGGGTCCACTCCAGGGACCAGTCTGCTTGAGCTAATGGAGGTAACAGCCGGTACAGCTCTGAGGTCTGCAACCCGGCAGGTAAAACAGCAATCTGCAAAACATATTCCTATTCTGCTCCTTGCCCCATGCCCACAGCCGCAGCATGCTAGGGGCAGCGGTGGCCATGGCCCCTCAGCTGTCACCAGCCTTCTTCCAGCAGGACCCCCCAGGATGTCTCCCACTGCAGTCTCTCGCTGTCCTTTCTAGCTGAACGCACTCGCACCGCCAGTGCTCCAGGCCTGCGACAGCACAGCCATTACCACTGCTCTGCCGAGCGAAGGGAACGTCATCCCTGCCTACCCCCACCCCCCCCCCCCCCCTGCCCCCCCCCGGCCAGGTCGGGGCAGGCTGAGCAGCCAGCAGCCCCAGGAAGGCGGCAGCACGCCGAAGCGCCGAGGATAGCAAATGGATGCAAAATAAAGCTGTGTGTGTGCTGCCAGGTATGCTGCTCCTGCTCAAGGCACCCACACTTTGCCAGCAGTCCTAAAGAACATTGGTTTTTTTCCCCACTCCTAATAAGAGGTGTTGTCACTTCGCACCCCTCTGAGCCCAGCTTGCCCACACCAAGTCCTTGGCTGTCCGGAAGGGGCTGCAGCCCAGACGTGGCTCGGCAGCCTTGGCATCCCTCCTGCTGCTTCGCTGCCAGCAGCCCTTTGCAGAGAATGGCGTGGTCCCCAGCAGGGACAGGGGCGGTAGGAGACACGTGCTCTCAGCAGCAGTGGCTGGGGGGCCGCACAAACAAAGGGTGAGCGGGACCAGAGAGAAACCCTGGGAGCACAAAGCCCAGGACGAGTTGCAAGGGTGACCCAAACCCCTCTGCCCACCATCTCGTGTTTCTACCCATCATTTTGGTGAACAAGTCTGCAAGCGTTTTGAGAGGAATCCCCGCTGGCACGGAGCTGAGATGAGGCTCCAGTGATGGCCCTTGTAGGGCAAAGCCAAGCCCTGGCAAATACAAGGTGCTGCTCTCTCATCCCATCACCACCGCGCCACAGGAAGGATCAAGGTGTTCAGCCAAGGTTGGCTCTGGGTGGAATCTGCTTTTGCAGTGAAGACCTGCTTAAATGCTAAACAAGATGACTGCTCGTTTCCCTCAATTTTGCAAGAATCTCCCCTCCCGAGGCCCCTAACTTACCATCCCCGGCACGGTTGCTACATCTCACATACGTGGGCTGCCTCTAAGGAAGAAGTGGCCAAGCCACTGCCAGCGGTGCATCAGACAGGGGATGCCATTCCCCCATCCTGACGTATCCATAATTCTCTTGACCAGGCTTCTGAGGATAGGCAATAACCTTTTTCTGAAGAAAGCAGATGCACTTGGATTTCTCCTCCCCATCCTCCCGGGTGGAAGGTAGCCCCAGCAGCCGCCACATCCCTGAGGCTCAGCATCTCCGAGGAGCAGTGATCAAAGCCACCCCTCTCCCATCACGGTAGGCTCCGGATGTCAGCTCCATGACACCCCGCCTACCCATCCTGCTGGAGAGACTCTGTGCATTCATCAGGCATCTCCAGAGAGGCACACGGCAATCTGGAAGGCCCAGAGATGCCAGACCGCTAAACATGCTAGGGAAAAGACGTCAGTGAATATTACAGACACCCCAGAGGGTGAGAGGCAGGCCAAGGGAGGAAAGACCTGGAAGGAATCAGACAAAAAAGAGGGCGAGAGCAGGTTCTTGGGAAATTCACAGAGGAATGGCATTGCCTTCTTTCTTATTTCAAAAAGGGGGATACCGCTGGGGCAGATTCAGCTGCACTGAAAGCAGGTAAAGAGGGTCTCTCCTCCTGTCCAACCCCACAGCGTTAGGTGCTGCCACCCCTGACCCGGGGCGGGGGGGCCAAAATGCAAGGCACAAGTCCTGCTTGTGCACTGCTCCTCCGAGACGGACACAGCCAGCAGGGACCGAGCATCTGCAATCCATCTTCACCGGAGCAGGGTTCATACTGCAGCAGGAGCGTCACCTCCCCAGGCAGCGTCGCCCCATCACCAGGCTGTCAGTCACACCAGGGACGGGCCCTGGGCACGCAAAAGTGCACGTAGGTCACGAACCAGATTGCACCATTTAGGCACGGGAAGGCTGAGCATCCTCGCAGCCTGAAGCCCTCGGCTCACCCAGCCTTCCCTTCCCTCCGACCCCTCCAGCCGCAGCAGCAGAGCCCCGCTCAGCAGCAGGTGCAGGGGAAGCAGAGCCAGCCCAGAGCTGCCAGCCGGCCGCGCAGCAGGTCCACACAGCATGGCCACGCCAGCCTGCTCTAGCTGTGCCGAAGCCAGAGCAGCATCTTGGGTCAGGCTCGGAAGAAAACAAAAAGCAGCTGAGCAGCCCTCGGCTGGGACTGGGGGATGCTGACACAGTAACCGTACTGCAGCAGCTCAGCCCCAGCACGGCCCTGCTCCTTCCCTGTGTCATGGGAGAGCTCCGTATGGAAAAACGGAGAAAAAGAAAAAAATGCAGGGAGCAACTTTCAGACGGCTCTTGAAGCAGAACACCTGAACCTGACACCTCCTTAGGAAGGGAGGCAGCTGCCTGCCTGCTGCCTGCAGGCGTTCAGACCTGCCGGCTGGCAAAGGGCAATGTGGGCTCAGCCCACAGCGTCCATACCCTCCCACCTCCCTGCAACCGCTGGTCACAGCTGGAGGGATCTAACCGGTTCTCTCTGGCACACGTCATGCTGAATAAACACAGCAACGATCCTCTTCAGCTACACGGGCACCCAGAGCCCTGCAAAACTGTGGGCCCCCATGCAGCCCATCACATAATAAACAACAGCGGAGGTACAGAAGGGTCTTCCAGGGATGTGAATCCTTCCCACGAAAACCATCAGAAGAGCGTGACGGGCACAGTCTGACCAGAGACTTCCCTGGCTACAACTGCCACACGTGATGACTTCCACTGCGGGTGACCTGGAGAGACTTCAACCCTCTGATTTAAGATATAACCAGCTCCTTATGCTGTTCCTAACCCCAGCACTTATGACTAACTAGCTCAGAGTGGAGTCAAACCCCAACTTTAATCATTATTCAATGTTATTAATAAAGCCATACACAAAACCTGGCAGGCAGAAGGGCCCAGACCAGTAGAAGCATCATTTTTCTGCCAGCATCACCTCTGACAAAGCAGCTCTACCCACCTGCCTCTCACCAGCCCAGCCCCCAGCAAAGCCCACCTTTCCTTCGCTTTGTACCAGAAACACCCCACAGCCCTCCCTTGAAAAGAGAGACACAGGAGGGCTCTGAGCTG